CGTTCAACCCCAGGATGACTGAACAGTCCCTGGAACAACTTGTCAGCAGCTGCCTCTCGCTTCCTTCTCACTCAAAGCCCTCACTTCCTAACCAGCCCAAACAGTCCAGTCCCTGGCTTTGGGGAGCAGTGCTGGTAAGCCCTCCTCCGCCATGGAGCCTACAGGTCTGGAGGCTGTGTGAGTGTGGAGCTGGCTGTGCCATGGAGGAGGGGGGTGGAGGGCCCAGACATCAGGCTGCCCCTATCTGAATGGCCATGGCACTCCTTCCCCCACTAAGCCCCTTTCCTATGCAAGAACTGGTGCTCAAGAATCAGTGCTTATTGAATGAATGAATCACCAGACAGGTAAACCCTAGGAGATTTCATTCATTCATTCATTCAAAAATATTTACTGAATGTCTCACCATGCTGGGCCCCTGTCCTAGATGCTGGGAGGACAAAAGAAAGCAAGTCTCCATTTTCATGAAGCTAACCTTGTAGTGGAGGAAGACAGATACTACACAAACAAATACACATGGCATATAATATCAGGCAGTGGTGTACACTATGAAGAAAGTAAAGTAAGACCAAGGGATTGAGACTGACAGATTGGGGGCATTCTTTAAATTGAGTGCTGGGAGGCCTCTCCAAGGAGATGGCACTTGGACAGAGATCAGAAGGTCATGAGGGAAAGTGTCATGCAGCCATGTTGACAACAGTAAGCGCAAAGGCCCTGAGGTAGGAGGGGGGTAGCGGAGCCTGAGATACAGTAAAGCCAGCAGAGGAAGTGGATCAAGGTGTGTCCTGGCATGACCTAACAGCAGTGGCTCTTAAACACGAGCCTGCGTCAGCATCTCCAGGAAGGCTTATGAGAGCACAGACTGTGGTCCTCACCCCCAGTGCTCAGTGTCTGGGGCGGGGCCTGAGAATGTGCATGTCTAACAAGTCACCGTGTGATGCTGATGCCGCTGGTCCAAACACCACAGCACAGGGTGTTTGGTCTTAATGCAACAGGCCCTTTCCCGCTCAGCACTCACACAGCAGTCACAGGCCATCGTTGCTCGATTACCTGCCTCCCTCCTGGGCTGGAAGAGCCTGAGAACAGAAGGTGGTTCTGTCCATGGTGCTTAGTAAGCACTCAATAAAGTATGTGTTGGATGAATTCCTCAAAGAAGGTTTCATGAAGGTTTCAGACCTATTTCTTACCAATCTCCCACCCAAGCAATCACGTGCCATTCTACAAAGGCTCAGGGCACTACCTCCCGCAGCTCCATGCCTTCGCACATGCTGTTCCATCTACTCAGGATGTCCCTTCCTCTCTGTCCACCTCATAAATCCACACCCACGCTTCAGGGCTCCCCTTCCAGCATCTCCTTCCCAGCGCCCTTCCACCTCTCCAGGGTCAGGAGTGCTCCTTGGGGTCCTGTATCCACTCATGTCACGGGGTTTGTTCCTACAATTGTCTTCCCTTCTTGACTAGAGGTCACAGCCGCGCAGCGCCCTGCCCCCCAGGTTGAACCAGTCAACAGAGGTGTTCTATTATTGTTGTGGTGCTTTAAATTTAAGTTCGTTGCCAAAATTTGAGAGTCAGGGGATTTCACACAAAAATCCAGATTTTGGGCTCCACGATGCAAGTCAGGGCCGGCACTTTCTTTCTTTTTTTAAATATATATTTTTATTGATTTCAGAGAGGAAGGGAGAGGGATAGAGAGATAGAAACAACAATGATGAGAGAGAATCATTGATTGCCTGCCTCCTGCACGCCCCCTACTGGGGATCGAGCCCACAACCCAGGCATGTGCCCTTGGCCGGAATCGAACCTGGGACCCTTCAGTCTGCAGGCCGACGCTCTATCCACTGAGCCAAACCAGCTAGAGCAGGGCTGGCACTTTCACACGGCCATGGCCTGCCAGAGCCTCTGGGGTTCTGTCACCTTCGCTGTGGTGGCCCTAGCAACCAGCACAGCAGCTGGTCCAGGGTAGGCACTCAGAACAAGCTTATTAATGAAACTGTAAATGTAAGGGATACTCTAGGTCAGTGGTTCTCAACCTTGGCTGCACATTAGAATCACCTGGGAATCTTTTTAAAATCCTGATTTCTGGGCCTCATCCTCTGGAAATTCTGTTTCTTTGTTATGGGATGGGGCCACAACATTAGTGAGTCTAGGTGATTAGAGTCTAGGTGATTAAAAAACAAACAAACAAACAAACCCCCCACCAATTCTAAGAGCAGGTGACCCGAGGCTGGTTCTGATTCCCGCTGGCTTGGTGCATGACCTTGGGCTCTCTCCGGACCTCAGTTTCCTTGCCTGTTAAGTTGAAGTAATAATCGTTTCACTTCCCAGGGTCATTGCATCAAACAAGAGAGAGGCTGTGAAGAGCTTAGCACGTGCCTGGCATATAACGCTCGGCCAGCACGAGCTATTACTGCAAGGAACTCGACCCTATGGGAGGAAGTGTGATGGAGTTTGAGGCAGGGGAGGCCCTGCTGGGGTCAGAGGGCACTAGACTACCTGTGTTTACTTGTAATCCCCAGTTCTGCCATGCACTAGCTATGTGACCCTGGGCATTTGACTTAACCTCATTGGGCTTCAATTTCCCCATCTATCAACTGGGGGTAATAGGGATTATTGTGACTATCAGGTGTGGACGTGAGTATTAAATGAATTAATCCTCTAAAGCACTTACAATGGGGCCAGCATTCAGCATGTGCTCAACACGTGCCAGCTCTCACTGTTACAGCTGCTCAGAGAGGGTTAGATTAGAATTTCTCAAGGCCTTTCATGGTTCCAAACTCTCTGGCCGCCTTAAAGCCAATGACTCTTGTCATGCAGCTGTCACTTAGTTATCAAGAATGTACAGAAGGCCCTTGGGATGAGGGAAGAATTCAATATAGAGGGTTTACCATCTCCCTGGAACGATCCAGAATGCTCTCATGATGGTGCTGACTAAAGTCACACAGAGTAGCAGCCACGAAAGGTAAAGAGTGGATGTGGTGCAGCCCTGCCTGGGAGGTGCTATTACCCCCCTTAAGGGAGGACACTGAGGCTCCAGAGGATGCCCCCAGATGTAGCTCGGAGTCTCAGCTCCATGGAGCTGCCTCAGAAGGCTGACTCACTCAAGGGGTCCTTTAAGGGACTAATGGGGTCCCAGTGAACAGGGCAGCCTGGAGGCGGAGGCAGGAAGGCCTGGGGTGTCTGGGACAGATGCACATGAAGTCTCCAAAGAAAAAAGTAGGTAAGGAGAATGAAGGAGAGACAGATTTTACCAGAACACCAGGAATGCTTCCCAAGAAGAGAAAATTTCAGGCAATCTGCATTGTTTTCCTGTGGATTCAGGGCTGAAAGCTTCACAGCCATTCATGGGGGGGTGGGGGGGGCAGTGAAGGGGGAATGTTCATGCCCCTGTGCAAGGCTAGTGGCCACTGAGACAGAGCAGCTGAGAGAGAGCAAATCACCTGGTAACTTAAAGGCATGTGACCACAGATCCTGAACACTCGCAGATCCTGAACACCCGCAGATCCTGAACACCTGCAGATCCTGAACATCCACAGATCCTAACACCCGCAGATCCTAACACCTGCAGATCCTGAACACCCACAGATCCTGACCACCCACAGATCCTAACACCTGCAGATCCTGAACACCCGCAGATCCTGACCACCCACAGATCCTAACACCTGCAGATCCTGAACACCCGCATCTCCGCTCAGGCTGCTCCTCCCTTTTGGCTCAGCCACGCGGAGCAGGAGCAGGAGTGAGAACAGGGTGCGTCTGGCTAACCTATGTGACCATGATAAACCAAATCCACCCAGATACATTTCTCCCCATTCACCCATCCAACTGTTGAGTGTTGAGCACCTACCATGTCCCAGACAGGCACATGCTTTCTCCTTTAAGCTTCAGGATAACCCCATGAAGGGGTTCCGCCAGCCCGGCTTTGAAGATGAGGAAAGAGGCTCAGGGGAGATGGCAGTGATTTCCGTTTGGGTTTCCTAACCAGAGCAAGTGGGACCTCCCTGGGTGACCAGTGTCCTGGATGCTCGCTTCATTCAATATGCGGTGTGATACGTTCTTCATTTTACACACGGAAATGGGCTCAGAGAAAGGTACTTAAAATTCCTCAGTGCAATCACCCGCCCCCCTCACCCCCCCCCCCATCAATATTCACTTGTTCTCTGACACCACTTTAAACATTTAAACAAATTCACTGACACCACTCTAAACACTTTCATATTTGGGAGTTTAAAGCGCATATCATCCCTGGGCTTTAAAAATAAGATTTCCCCGTAGGATGCGGGGCAAGGACTGGATTTCCAGATGCACCTCGCGGCCTCGCTCCCGGAACCTAGGAACCTGGGGAGCGACAAGAACCGCTGGGATTTCACACTCGTCCTAAGCTCCGCTTCTGCAACCGCGGCCTCGTCTACTTACTGCGCAGGCGCCGCTCCAGCCTCCCGCGCTCTCCCCGGAGCCCTGAGCGGGCGAGTCCACGTCCAGGAGCGCGGGGGATACGGAGAATCCCCGTTCCTCCCGAGATGGACCAGGTCACCCTCCCGCCAATCAGAAAGCTTCTTTAATCACAGCTCCCGCTACAAGACGTGGGAGCTGCTTTTCCAAGAACTTTCCGGCAGCGCGGAGAGGCGGGAGGTGGAAATGATTGACATCTCCTACAACCATTAGTCAAGCGGTATTAGCTTGAAGAGCAGACACTACTACGAATCGTCTTGCAAGAAAGATCTTAGTCCCGCCTCCTCCTCCCACTGGTCTCCGAAACCTTCGGGTGGAGATTTTGGTGGCAGCCAATCGAGGGCCAGCGAGAAAGCGGAGGGGGCGGGGCCGGCGGTTGCCCGGC